TAGATATGGGTCGGGTTTGTTTCAGTCCATACCCAAGTTCTTGAAACTAGTTAAAGGGTCGTGTGGATGTCTAGTAAAAAAAAATGAGTAGCTTCCAATTTATGATAATCAATATGATAAAAGGAACTTAAAATGTAATCGAAATTTTAATTATAATGACATGAAGCAAGAAAAAATGATCTCATGTACATTATTAATTATATATATATATATATAATCTTTATTTATAAAATATCTTACAAGAGAACTCCACACACTGCAAATCCACACTGACTTTGAAATAAAAACTTAGACTGAAAAATAGCACACCTTACAACATATGTCTTCTCTCCTTATATTAGACTGGAAGAGAATAAAGCACAGACATAAAGTAAAAGACATCTGGCAGGACATCTTCTTTTCAAAAGTAGCTTTATAAAAGCTTGTCTTTTGCAAAAGCTTCTTTAAGAAAGTAGGAATGTAATGAGTGGCTCCCCGGGGCTCAACTCGTAAAAGGAACTTTAATTCTTCTTTTTCTTTAACTTTTTTTTCCTTTACCTTTAAGGTCAGTTGTCGGAATCTGATTCAGAACTCTCATAGCAGCTTTCCAAATATCTTCTTCTTCTTCTTCTCCTTGTGCATCAGGCAAAGTAGTATCTTCATCGCAGGAGTCAAGACTTTTGCTAGATTGAGTCTCCATGTTGTCAAAAGCTTCAAAAAACTGTCTTTTCATATGATCAAGACATTTCTGTTGAATTTCTGCTTCAGAAACTTGCAGATATTTCCGTCTAATCATTTTGGCTAACTGAACCATTGGATTAACCTTCTGAATTTCTTGAGAAATAATTTTTTCGAGAACAATATTATTTCTCATTATAATTTCTTCAATAAGTTTCACTTTTTCTTCAATAATAATTTCATTCCACCATCTACAGTAATAATTCCTTTTAAGGATAGGTAAGCGTGAGTCATCCCAGTCTGACTCAAAAGTTCATGTTCAAATCCATGGAATCTCTATTTCAAAGAAAAAGTAAACAGCACACAATCCTTCGATAATATGATTATCGTCCATTTTAGAAATAATGGGATGAGATTCTACCCATCCAGAATATAATTTAGATATGAGTTCTGGAAGGATATTTAATTCAGCACCATAAATTTTTTACCAATCATAAAACCATGATGGAATGCCCTTTTTAAGAGCTTTTGGACAAAGTTTAATCATCCAAGTATGCTTGTTTTTAGGATTTTGATATAAAAAGATATTATAAAATGTCTGCTTATAATCCCAGTAATTGAAGGAATATATCTCTTTAGAATTCTGGGCTTTAACCAGAGGCAATTCTTGATTTGGGTTTATAGCCCATTTTCGAGGTAAAATAACCTCTTTAATAATACACTTACTGAAATTTAGGGGAATATTTTTATTCTCAGATCCCCAGAAATGGGTAATTTTCATTCCTTTTTGTACTATTAATGTTTTCATCCAAAATCTGGATTTTAATGATAATGTTGGATAATAATTGTCATTTAAATATCTCGCTCTGATATTTTCAGTATTATTCATGAGAGAAATATTCTCTTGTTCTAAGTAGAGAACTGTTTCTGACATCCTTTTAGGTGTCCATTTTGTTTCTCGTTTTACTATTAGATTAAAAGGCTCGAGGTTATTATCCTGACTTACTTCATTGACAAGACCTTTATTAAAGGCTTGAGACAGGCTTTGAGCTGGGTTTTCTGAATAATTCTTTTTTGCACCAGTTCTCCATGAACTAGATTCAGGAATAGAACCTTCAAAAGGTTTAATAGGACTATAAGCCCTCTGAATATTCTAGGAATTATTATTATTTCCCCTGCCTCCTCGCCCCCTTCCTAAAGAGGGATTATACAATGTGTTTCTTCGTCAGATTCTGACTCAGAGTAGGATGATTCATCCTTTTCAGATTCACTATTAATCATTATTCTGTATAAAGTCTTTTTAAGACCTTCATCTTCGATGTTTATTTTATGTACCATTCCTTCATTAATGCAATTTAAGTCTGCACCACTATCAACCAGGGATATAAGATCTGGTATAAACATTTGCTCAGATATGGCTAGAGTAATTTTTATGTATCATTTTTGATATGGCTATAAGATCTGAATTAATTCCCTCGTCTTCTACTTTAAGTAAGACCCTTAATAAGGGCAAAAGAGTAAAAAATACTCAAAGTACAGAATATACCTCTGAGATAGAAGTTTTGAATAAATGGACAATTCCTGCAATCCCTAATAGGGATATTTACAAAATAGGCTTTTGGGATTATAAATCATTAATAACTATTAAAAACTTTAGAATGAACTACAACTATAGATCGTGATGAGCAAACATTACAATTGCTTAGTCCTATTGATATTGATCCTTATATGGATAAATATAATAGATCGTGATGAGCAAACATTACAATTGCTTAGTCCTATTGATATTGATCCTTATATGGATAAATATAATTATATTCATATCGGCTTAATACAAGTCTTAGTCCTATTGATATTGATCCTTATATGGATAAATATAATTATATTCATATCGGCTTAATACAAGTCGTTTTTAGATCTTTAACTTTACAAGGATTAAATGCATCTATATTAACATGTTTAAGAGATGCAAGATGTTTAAACTGGACCCAATCTTTAATGGGTATAATGGAAACTAATCTATGTAACGGACCAGTTTATTTTAATGTCTATCCTAATTTAAGCTTATCTTTAACAGACCCAAATATATTTGAGGCAGATAGTTTAAATATAAAAACTCATGGTTATAATTTTATCTCAGGATCTGAGACTATAGCCATATATATATTGAATTCATTATAAAACCTCGACTTCTTTAGCTCCGAAAGCTAAAATTCATGTTAATAGACAAATTAAATGGGATGAAACAAATGTTTTATCATCTAATATTGCTGTTAATAGACAAATTAAATGGGATGAAATAAATTTTCTAGACAGTTGGGTTATACCTAACGTTGTTCAACCACAACCAATAATTAATCAAGAGATTGATCAAATAACTCAAACAGTTGATGGAGAAGTTGAATTTATTTTTAATCCTTCTCGAACTATTCATCTATCTGACGTTACTAGTACTTCTAGAAGATCAATTTCTAGATCAGGTTCTTATATAACCAATGATGTTGAAGGCATAAATATTTCTGAAAATCATATTCCTTACGCTTTATACAAAGAAAAGGAGAAAATTCTCCTACAAGCTCTGAAATGAGTTTTAGAATGCCTAGTTAATATGAATATTATAGAAATAAAGAAATAAGAAAATTTCTTAATAAGGAATTTCAAGAAGAAAAACATCAAGAAATTAGAAAATGGAAATAAAGAAATAAGAAAATTTCTTAATAAGGAATTTCAAGAAGAAAAACATCAAGAAATTAGAAAATGGTTCTTCAAAAGCTTTTCTAAGGAATTTCAAGAAGAAAAACATCAAGAAATTAGAAAATGGTTCTTCAAAAGCTTTTCTAAAAAAGAACTAGAATTTAAAGATAAATATTATAAAAATTTATAAAATGATCAAAAATTAGAATTTTTTATTCCTTGGTTTCTAAAGTATTATATACAAAGTCAAGAAAATCAAATTAGTGTTATAGAGGAACATTATAAACAGTGGAAATCTGCTACTGGTATGAATATAAGATCTATATATCCTCCAACAAATGC